TGTCTTTTTCTTTCTCTGTTCTAGCCAATTATAACATTTATTCCAAATTTCATAAAATTCTGACGTCTCCTTGTCTTTTAATTCTAACGTAAGTTTGTTCATTTCTGCGCATTCCAAGATTTTATACATAATCATATCATTTGTGGGAATATTTTCACTCTTCCAACATTGCGCATATGCTATACGGGCTGCAGTCAATTTGTGTATAATGATGTGTTGGAGTTGTTTTTCCATCTTTAAATTTATTATGCCCAAAAGAAATATTTCTGGTTTGAAATCCATTTGTATCTCAGTTATCTCCTGTATCCAATCTCTTATCCGCTCCCAATATTTTTTTACTTTGGGGCACAGCCACCGCATGTGATAAAATGTTCCTTCTTTAATTTTACATTTCCAATACTTCGGGTCTATGTTTTTGTACATGTTGGCCAATCTCGCCGGTGTTAAATGCCATCTGTAAATCATTTTATATTGATTCTCTCTATATGCAGTTGATAGCGTCAATTTGCAATTTCGGTTCCATAATCTTTCCCATTCCTCTAAATTTATATTTCGCCCCACATTTCGTGCCCACGCTATCATTGGCCCCTTCACTATTTCTTCTTCTAACTCTATCTGTAATAGGTATTTATAAATTTTTGATAATAGTTTTCCTTCCTTACTTATTAGAATTTTATCAAGTTGGTGTGGGTCTATTCTATTCTATTAATTCTATATTCTATTCTATTCTATTCTATATTCTATTCTATTCTATTCTATTCTTAATCCTATTCTATTTAATTCTATTCTGTTCTGTAATATTCTATTCCATTCCATTCCATTCTATTCCTATTTCCATTTGGTTCTGTTCTGTTCTCTATATTCTATATTCTATTCTGTTCTATGTATATAGTCTATCCTATATCCCATATCCTATCCTGACTGGCCTGAAGGGCGAGGAATTCTGCACTTGGCTGGAACTGCCCAAAAGCAACAGAGTCTTGTCCGGGGGGGGGTGTTAAAGTGGCACCTCCAGCCCAAGCCCCCCCCCCGTTTGAATGACCTCCACAGGTTGGCTGGAGGCGGGCAGGGGCCGGACCTCTCCTCGGAGTTGTCTCCTCCCCCCCGCCACTCACCCCGTCTCGTGTCCTGGGGAGTGGGGAGCGAAAGGGAGCCCCCCCTCTTTTTTCCTCTCTTCTGACCCCCTTCTCCCCCTCCCCCTTTGCAGGCAGCTGCTTCCTCTGCCTGGTGGACGTGGTGCCGGTGAAGAACGAGAGCGGCGCCGTCATCATGTTCATCCTGAACTTCGAGGTGGTGGCNTTCTTGAAAAACCCCAGTGTTGGGCCACTCACAAGTTCTAGTGGCAAGCAGTTCCGGCGGTTAATTGCCCTCACTGTTAAAAAGTGTCTCCTTAGTTCCAGGTTGCTTCTCTCTTTGGTGAGTTTCCATCGGCGGCTTCTCGTCCTGCCTTCGGGGGCTTTGGGGAAGAGGTGGAGCCTCTCTTCCCTTCCCTTCCCTTCCCTTCCCTTACCTCCCTCCCTCCCTCCCTTCCTTCCTACCTTCCTCCATCCTCCACTCCCTCCCTCCTTCCTTCCTTCCTTCCTTCCTTCCTTCCTTCCTTCCTCCTTTCTTTCTCCTGCTTGAGCAGGGGGTTGGGCTAGATGACCTCCAAGGTCCAACTCTTTCATTCTATGATATTGTAAGGGTCTCCTGCTCAAGCAAGGGGTTGGGGTAGATGACCTCCAAGGTCCCTTCCAACTCTGTCATTCTAGGATTCTGGAAGCGTCTCCTGCTCGAACTGGGGGTTGGACTAGATGATTTCCACGGTCCCTTCCAACTCTCTTATTCCGTAATTCTGGAAGGGTCTCCTGCTCGAGCAGGGGGTCGGACTAGATGACCGCCGAGGTCCCTTCCCTCTGTCATTCGGGGATATTTTAAGGATCACCTGCTCGAGCAGGGGGTTGGACTAGATGGCCTCCGAGGTCCCTTCCAACTCTGTCATTCTGCAATTCTGCAAGGGTCTCCTCCTTGAACAGAGGGTTAGAGACACCCCCCCCCAGTCTAAAGAACCCTTCGGCCCCTACTGCAGTGCCCCCTTGCCTACGGATCTGCTCAAAGTTGTCTGTGTGTGTGTATTTGTGTGTGTGTGTGTGTGTGTCAAAGCCAGGGGAGAGAGTCCATCACCCGTTATCTACCCTAACAGTGCCCTCGTCTGTTGGAAAAGAGAGCGAACAATGGGAGAGGGAGGGGGGCAGCCCAGGGGATAACAGCTCAAGCGGGGGGGAGGGGACAATTAACCAGTGGAACTCCTTGCCTCCAGAAGCGGTGAGTGCTCCAACACTGGAAGTTTTTAAGAACAGACTGGACAGCCATTTGTCCGAAATGGTATATAGGGTTTCCTGCCTGAGCAAGTGGGTTGGACTAGATGACCTCCAAGGTCCCTTCCAACTTTATTATTATTGTTGTTGTTATTAAAGAGTGGACAGCCACATATGAAATGTTATATAGGGTTTCCTGGCTGAGCAAGGGGGTTGGACTAGATGACCTCCAAGGTCCCTTCCAACATCATCATCATCATCATTCTTATTATGAGACTGGACAGCCATTTGTCTGAAATGGTCTAGGGTTTCCTGCCTGAGCAGGGGGTTGGACTAGATGACCTCCAAGGTCCCTTTCAACTTTATTATTATTATTATTATTATTATTATTATTATTATTATTATTATTAAGAGACTGGACAGCCACTTGTCTGAAATGGTATATAGGGTTTCCTGCCTGAGCAGGGGGTTGGACTAGATGACCTCCAAGGTCCCTTCCAACTTTACTATTATTATTATTATTATTATTATTATTATTATTATTATTATTATTATTATTATTATTATTATTATTATTATTGGACAGCCATTTGTCCGAAATGGTCTAGGGTTTCCTGCCTGAGCAGGGGGTTGGACTAGATGACCACCAAGGTCCCTTCCAACTTTATTATTATTATTATCATTATTATTATCATTATCATTATTATGAAGAGAGACTGGACAGTCACTTGTCTGAAATGGTATATAGGGTTTCCTGCCTGAACAGGGAGTTGGACTAGATGACCTCTGTTCTGGATCATATAACCTCCAAGGTCCCTTCCAACTTTATCATCATCATCATCATCATCATCGTCGTCATTATTATTATTATTATTATTATTATTATTATTATTATTATTATTATTATTAAATGACCCAAAGGCCCAAAGTCTGTAGGAAATGGTCCTTAGCAACCTTGGGACCCGACCCTAAGAGCTTAATGCCAAACTGGCCAGGTGGCCCAAGCACAATAAAGCTTTCTGGGCCCTCCTCCCTCTTTTTCTCCCAGAACATGTCCTCGGGCGCGCTCTGCCAAACGAGCCGATTAGGGGAGAGTGGAAAAAGAAGGAAGGGGCTGTCGGCAGGGCAGGGACTCCGAGGTCCCCTCGGGTGAAGTCATTCCTACGGCTTGGCGGATCGCCCGAGAAAGAGGAGGAGGTGGGGCAGGTGTGTGTATGTGTGTTTGTGCAGAGGAGCAGAATATGGGGCCTGCGTGGGAGGATGGATGGATGGGGATGACAGGCGGAGGTGACTGTCTCTCTTTCTTTCGGGAACAGCCTGTCCCGTCGTGGCTTCTTGTTGCGTCAATTTCGGCTATAAAACCAGCTCTGTTTGTGTGGCCATGAGGTGTGTTTGTGTGTGTGTGTGTTCTGTGAAGGTGCCAGGAGGGGAGAGCTTTCCTCTTGCAGGGTCCTACTTCCCGCCCTTCCCGCAGAATTCAGGGCGAGGAGCGCCTTTGAACCCTCCGTATCTGGGCCAAGGTCATAAAGAGGGCTGCTGACCCCTGGTGGCCAAAGCATGGCTCTCCCCCCCCCTATGCTGCTCCTGTGGGGAGGGGTCTTTTCTTAGAGCAGGCCCAGGAGAGAGAAATGGGGGGCGGGGGGCACAGGGGAGCGAGACAGGGAGTCCTCGACGTACGACCATCATGATGCCCCAGGTTTCCGTTGCTAAGCGAGACGCTTGCTCAGGGAGTTTCACCCCGGTTTTCGACCTTCCTGGCCACAGTTGCTAAATGAATCCCTGCGGTTGTTCACTTAGTGACACGGTCGTTAACTGAATCGGGCTTCCCCCGTTGACTTTGCTCGTCCGAAGATCGCAAAAGAGGACTGGCGAACCTCAGGACGCTGCGACCGTCATAAATACAAGTTGGTTGCTGAGCCTGTGAGCTTTGATTGTGTGACCCTGGGATGCTGGGATCGTCATAAATACGAATCGGTTGCTGAGCCTCTGAGCTTCGATCGCGTGACCCCGGGACGCTGCGATTGTCATAAATACGAATCGGTTGCCGAGCGTCTGAGCTTTGATTGTGTAACCCTGGGACGCTGGGATCGTCATAAATACGAGTCGGTTGCCGAGCGTCTGAGCTTCGATCGCGTGACTCCGGTATGCTGCGACCGTTATAAATACAAATCGGTTGCTGAGAGTCTGAGCTTTGATCGCATGACCCCGGGATGCTGCGACCGTCATAAATACGAGTCGGTTGCCGAGCGTCTGAGCTTTGATCGCGTGACCCCGGGACACTGCGACTGTCATAAATACGAATCGGTTGTCGAGCGTCTGAGCTTTGATCGCGTGACCCCGGGACGTGAGCGTCATAAATACGAGTCGGTTGCCAAGCCTCTGAGCTTCGATCGCGTGACCCCCGGGACGCTGCGACCTTCGTAAATACGAGTCGGTTGCCGAGCGTCTGAATTTTAATCAGCAGGAAAAATGGTCCGAGGTGACTTTTTCCATGCACGTTGTAGCTTTGAACGGGCTGCCGTAAGTCAAGGACAGCCTGCGGACGGGGAGGCGGCTCTCTGCACAGCCATCTCTACACACAAACACACACACATTGCCTTCCAGGTCGTGGTAAGTCCTTCCGGCTGAGGCTCCCGGCGCTGCTCGCCCTGGCCGGGAGCAAGCAGTCGCTACCGCAGGACGACCCGGACGAGGCGGTGGTGGTGGACCTGTCCAAGCCGAGCAGCGAGTCCATGGTGCTGGACGAGGTCACCTCCTCGCTGGATCCCCCTTGCCTGGGCTGCAAGGAGGAGGAGGAAGAGGAAGAGGAGCCCGAGGACCGGCGAGCCCTGATGGAGCGCCGGGGGGAGGCCGGCGAGGACCCCCCGGTCATCCACTCCTCGCCCCGGACTGAGAAGGCCACCCACCTCCACCTGGAGGCCTCCTTCTCCAACTGCAGCCTCAGCCGCACGCGCTCGCGCGAGAGCTTCTACAGCGTGCGCAGGGCCTCCTCCGTGGACGACATCGAGGCCATGAAGGGCGAGGGAGAGAAGGGCCGGGCCCACAGCCGGCACGCCAGCACCGGTGGGTGGCGCCGCGGCGCCCCGGGAGGGAGGGATCTGGTGGGGTCCCGGTCCGGCGGAGGAGAGGGGGGGAGGCACCGCCGGGAGCGTTAGGGGGGGCTGGGAGGTCATCCAGTCCAGCTCCCTTGCTCAAGCAGGAGACACTTACAGAATAACACAGTTGGAAGGGGCCCCAGAGGTCATCTAGTCCGACCCCCTGTTCGAGCCAGAAATCCTTACAGAATCATAGAGTGAAGGGACCTCAGAGGTCATCCAGTCCAGCTCCCTGCTCAAGCAGGAGACCCTTACACAAGCATAGAGTCGGAGAATGGAAAGGGACCTTTGAGGTCGTCTAGTCCAACCCCCTGCTTGAGCAGGCGATCCTTACAGAATCCTAGAGTGACAGAGTTGGGCGGGACCTCAGAGGTCATCTTGTCTAGGAAAGAGGGGAGGGGCGGCAGGCATCACCGAGAGCGTTAGTAGGGACCCGGGAGGTCATCCAGTCCAGCTGCCTTGCTCAAGCAGGAGACACTTACAGAATAGCACAGTTGGAAAGGGACCCCAGAGATCATCTAGCCTGACCCCCTGCTTGAGCAGGAGAACTTTATAGAATGACGGAGTTGGAAGGGGCCCTAGAGGTCATCTAGTCTGACCCCCTGCTCGAGCAGGAAATCCTTACAGAATCATAGAGTGACAGAGTTGGAAGGGACCTCAGAGGTCATCTAGTCCAGGCTCCCACTCAAGCAGAAGTAATTTTGTAATTACAGAATTACAGAATCACAGAGAATCCATTCCATATATTCTATTTTGTTCTGTTCTATTTTCATATTTTCTATTCTATTCTATTCTATTCTATTCTATTCTATTCTTATTTCTATTCTGTTCTTAATTCTATTCTATTCATATTTCTATTCTTAATTCTATTCTATTCTATTTTATTATTTTATTCTATACTATCCTATCCTTATTTCTATTCTATTCTATTCTATTCTATCTTATCCTATCCTATTCTTAATCTTATTCTATTCTATTCTATTCTATTCTATTCTATTCTATTCTATTCTATTCTATTCTATTCTATTAAGTTCTATTCTATTCTATTCTTATTTCTATTCTATTCTTAATTCTATTCTATTCTAAATTCTATTCTATTCTTATTTCTATTCTATTCATATTTCTATTCTTAATTCTATTCTATTCTATTCTATTATTTTATATCCTATCCTATCATTTCTATTCTATCCTGTCCTATCCTATCCTATCCTTAATCTTATTCTATTCTATTCTATTAAGTTCCATTCTATCCTATCCTATCCTATCCTATCCTATCCTATTCTTAATCTTATTCTATTCTATTCTATTAAGTTCTATTCTATTCTATTCTTATTTCTATTCTATTCTTAATTCTATTCTATTCTATTCTATTCTATTCTTATTTCTATTCTATTCATATTTCTATTCTTAATTCTATTCTATTCTATTATTTTATTCTATCATATGCTATCCTATCCTTATTTCTATTCTGTTCTATTCTGTATTCTATTATATTCTTTATCGTATCCTATCCTATCGTATCCTATCCTATCCTATCCTTAATCTTATTCTATTCTATCCTATTCCATCCCATCCCATCCCATCCCTATTCCAATTCCAATTCCTTGCTACTGAGCAAGTCGAAGGTCCAACTCTGGAGGGGCTACCTCGATCCCATTGGCCAGCCAAGACCGCTGACGAGGTCCCAGGCTCGGGGTCTCCTCGCGTGGGTGGGAGGGAGAGACCGAAGGCCCCCACCCCACCCTTTGGCTGAACCGTTGGCTTTCCCGGCAGGGGCCATGAACAACGTCCGGAGCCACCTGCTCAACTCCACCTCCGATTCGGACCTCATGCGCTACCGGGCCATCAGCAAGATCCCCCAGATCACCCTCAACTTCGTGGACTTCAAGGCCGAGGCCTTCCTCACCTCGCCCTCCAGCGAGAAGGAGATCATCGCCCCCAGCAAGCTGAAGGACCGGACCCACAACGTGACCGAGAAGGTCACCCAGGTGAGAGCCGGCCGAGCGTCTCTGGGCCCGGGGTGGGGCTCGGCAGGGGAGACCCCGCGGGAGCGACGTTCGTCCGCTCTTCCTGTCCGCCTGTCGGTGGGCTGTGGGGTCGATGGGCTCGGCGCCTCGGTGGTCGCCCGTTGTTGGCGGACGTGGGCCGCAGAAGGGCGGCACGGTGGCTGCCGGGTCGTCCTTGTTTAGGACGAATTTATTTGGGTTTGTGAGTGGCTCCTTCACACCTGTGGTGGATGGTGGCCTTGCTGGACCGAAGCCCTCCCCCAGGAAGAGCCTCCTCCCCACGTGCCAGCAGGCCCTCTGTGTGTGTGTGTGTGTGTGTGAGAGAGAGAGAGAGAGAGAGAGGGAGAGAGAATGAGAGTGAGAAAAAGGGAGAGAGAGAGAAAGAAAGAAGAGAAAGAGGGAGAGAGAGAGAGAGAGAGAAAGAAAGGGAGAGAGGGACAGAATTAGCGGGGAGAGGGAGAGAGGAATAGAGAATGAGAGAGAAAGGGAGAGAGAGAAAGAGAAACAGAGAGAGGAAGAGAGAAAGAGAGAGAAAGAGAAAAATGGGAGAAAGAGAGAGAGAAAAGGAGAGCAGGGGAGAATGGGAGAAAGAGAGAGAGAAATGGAAAGAAAGAAAGAAAGAAAGAAAGGGAGAGAGAGAGAAAGAGGGACAGAGACAGAGGGTTGGACTAGATGACCTGCAAGGTCCCTTCCAACTCTTATCATTCTATGAGGCTGTAAAGGTCACCTGAGCAGGGGGTTGGACTAGATGACCTCTGAGTGCATTCCCAACTCTTATCATTCTGTAAGGCTCTCCTGCTTGAGCAGGGGATTGGACGAGATGACCTCTGTGCTTTTCCAACTATGTCATTCTGTGAGGGTCGACTGCTTGACCAGAGGGTTGGACTAGATGACCTCCGAGGTCACTTCCAACTCTATTATTCCGTGATGCTGTAAGGAGTCTCCTGCTCGAGCAGCGGGTTGGGCTAGATGACCTCTGAGGTCCCTTCCCACTCTGTCATTCTGTGATACTGGAAGGGTCTGCTGCTTGAGCAGGGGGGTTGGGCTAGATGACCTCTGAATGCATTTCCAACTTTGTCATTCTGTAAGGAGTCTCCTGCTCGAGCAGAGGGTTGGGCTAGATGACCTCCGGGGTCCCTTCCTGCTCTGTCATTTTATCATTCTGTAAGGCTCTCCTGCTCGAGTAGGGGATTGGGCTAGATGACCTCTGAGGTCCCTTCCAAGTCTGTGATTCTGTAATTGTGTAAGGGTCTCCTGCTCGAACAGGGGGTTGGGCTAGATGACCTCTGAGTGCATTCCCAACTCTGTCATTCTGGATGGCTCTCCTGCTTAACCAGAGGGTTGGGCTAGATGACCTCCCAGGCCCCTTCCAACTCTGTCCTTCTGTGATACTGTCAGGGTCTCCTGCTCGAGCAGGGCGGTTGGGCTAGATGACCTCCGGGTGTCTTTCCAACTCTGTCATTCTGTAAGGAGTCTCCTTCTCGAGCAGGGGGTTGGACTAGACGACCTCCGGGGGTCCCTTCCAAGTCTGTCATTCTGTCATTGTGTCAGGGTCTCCTGCTCGAGCAGGGGGTTGGACTAGATGACCTCTGAGTACTTTTCCAACTCTGTCATTCCGTAAGGGT